GGATCTGTAGGTGTGGCTTGGTGGGCATGGCTTGGTGATGGTCATGTCATTGAGTGGGCATGGCCAACTTGATGTAACTCATGGCAAAGTGGGGTGGCATGTTGCTGTGAGTGACATCGAGTTGGCTCTTGAACTAGGCAGTGGGCATTATAATCAGTGGTGGTATTCAATTATTTTTACTACTGGTTCTGTGGGTGTGGCTTGGTGGGCATGGCTTGGTGAGGGTCATGTGACTGAATAGGTGTGGCCAACTTGGTTTAACTCACAGCAAGAGGGGCAGCATGTTGCTGTGAGTTCGGCCAAGTATTCTCCTCCTTCTTGGCCTCAAACATACACACAGCAAACATGCCTTCAGACCTGGAAGCCATCTTTTACATTTTCTACTGTGGGAAAGTGGGAGGGGGGGATTACATAGAGGGTGGGTGATATATAGTCAAAATAACATTCTTTCTCAAGGACACCTTACCCTGCTGTTTTTATGAGATGACTGGGAGGCATCTCCAGTGTTGTATGGTGCCTGATTGGGCCATGTGATGAGCATGTGGGTGCTGGGCAGGGAATTGAACTTTCTTTTGCGTGGGGAAAACCTGGAAGGTTTCAGATTCGAGTTTTCCCAGATGTGCCAATTTGACCTCTCTAATAAAGTAGAACTTTGAGGAACCTCAAGCCTTCGGGTCTTCTTTCATTGGGGGTGTTACTTGGAACCTTGACCCAGACTTTTTGGCACTGTGACCTTCTTCGAGGAGACATGGCAAGTCCCTCCAGCGCAGCAGGCCATTCTAATGGCTGGGTCTGGCTGTGAGTGGCACAGGCAGGCAATGGGGTATCCGGCCAGCGCAAAGAACAGGGCAGCAACAGTGGCGATGGGCCTGGCCATGTCCCCACTGCCAGCAAAGCCTTGCTCACCCACAAATCCCACAATTTTGTAATGTGCATAAATATAAAATATTTATTTTAGGTTGTCTCATTGTCACATTGCCTGGTCCTTTCTTAAAAGATTGATCAAATTTTCTGCAGCACTAATCACTGCAAAGATCTGATTCCCATGCTCAGGAATAGCTACATTTCCAAAACAAATACCCGACATCTGCAGCACTTTCTGGGATATAAAAAACTGGCAAATTAATAGCAATGTAGAACATGGAAGTCTATGACAGCCTTGGACGTTAAACGTTAAAAAGGATTGGACCTGATATGGATTTAATAGTATCCTTTCATTGTTCCTTAGCCACCTACCTTCCTGGATGGAGATTGTTCCTGCCATACATGGAGAAGAGTCATTGGCACCAAACAAGGTGCCAATATATAGCAGTGTTCCAATATCTCAGGGGCTGCCACAAAGAAGAGAGAGTCAAGCTATTCTCCAAAGCACCTGAGGGTAGAACAAGAAGCAATGGGTGGAA